CAGCCCCTGTTTGCAGGAGGGAGGAGGGTCACCATGGACAGAGGCTGCTTTATGGCAGCCTCCCCCACTCCCTGCTCCCCAGCAGCCTTTGTCCACTGGGAGCTTGGATCCCCCACAGACTGGGGTGCTGTCCCCCTGCACTGCTGTCCCTGTGTCAGAGATAGCAGCGCAGGGTGGCAGGCATCTATCCTGCGAGGGGAGCTGTTTTTTAAGCCTGCCGCCTGGTACCCCATGCTGCTCCCGACCCTGGGGACTATAGAAGAGTTGGCTAACCACTGAGAATTCATGCGGTTAGTTGACTATTCTGTTATCTGCTATCTAACATCCCTAGTTACCATGTTTTGATTGTGATTCCTATGAACTAAAAATGTATTTTCCCCATTTGTTGCTGTTGTGGTTCAAATTCTGTTAAAACCTTAATCTATTAGTACAGATTTATTTTATTTAGAAAGTAATACTTATGTGGTTATACTATTCTTGGAAATTTTTCTATAATAGTTCTAGTTTTAATTTCAACAGAGGAAGGCGAGAACTAGTGAAGATAAATTTAGATGTGGCACAGTTTCAAGTCCTAATTAAAGATGCTAAATTTAGATCAACTAATCAAATAGTCGATGTCATTTGCATCAACTATTTGATTAGTCAATAAGGGGCGCCTCCGCCTTTGAAATGTACCAACAGCCCTTGCTACATTTCAAAGGTGGAAGCGCCATGGGGAGCATGGCCAGTGGGGGACTCAAGTAGTTCCCTTCTGTCCCTGTAGTCCCAGCGGAGCTTTGCTTTTGAAATGTACAAGAGCGCACCTGTAGCTCTTGTACATTTCAAAGGCAGGGAGCATGGGGCCAGTGGGGGACTGTTTGAGTATCTAATTCGCTCCAGGCTCCCTGTGGTGCTTTTGCTTTTGAAATGTTGCTCTGCTCTTGCTACATTTCAGAGGTGAAGCACCACCACTTTCCCGCTGCACCTCTGCCTCTTCTCCCCACAGAGAGAGTGCTGGGGGGAAGCAGCTTTTAAGCTGGTTCCCTCTAACTCTGGATCCTGCTCCCTCTCCTTGCTGCCTCTCTCTGATAAAGGTGAGGGGAAGCAACTAATTGAGTCACTAGTCAACTATCCAATAAGCATTTGCTTATCAGATAGTTGACTAGTTAACTAGTTGCTTACATCCCTAGTACTAATGGTTGGTGGTTGAAGTACTTAACTGTGTGATGCAGATGATTTATGTTCTTAATTTGTAACTTTTGTAATATGACAGCTGTTAAGAATAGTTTGTCTGCCTCTTGCTTCAGAAGCTTTCTGTTCAGCTGTAAGATCAGGGCACAAATTATACATCCTTCCATTTAGTACATTTTTATTCACATTTTTACCCCAAAAATGCACAGATGTTTTTTGTAGCTGACTCTGAAATCACAGCAATGGTACCTGAATGTGACTCATAGGTTTCAAATGGTAAATTTGTATGAAAACTGGGATCATGCCCTCCTCAGTATAGTCTTTCAACTACTTCAGTGTCCAAAATCCCTACTAGTGAAACAAGGTCATGCCTTCCTCTCAAAGAATTTTGTGTCTTGCTGCCATATGGTATTGAGGGGAAGGAAGAATGACTTCTGATGTTCAATGTAGTTTCTTTCAAACATTTACCCAGGAAGGAAGAGCCTTAGTGGATGGTTGAGGCTGTACTGTAGCCCCACCATCTTGCAGATCCATGGGGAAAGAAACTCCCAGGCCTGCACAGATTTGATCCCTTTTTGCTGCTGCTCTGCTTGCTCCTCCCTCCCAAGCTACAGTGCTCTTGTGGAAGCTGGAGGTTGGATAATGGGGAGGAGGCTGGGGGGGATTTGAAGACTCACTTTTTTTCCCCCACAGCATGAACTTATATACATATGTTTGATTGCAGATGGAGAATGCTGTACAGTATGATTCTTCCTGCTACTAACCTACTTATTATTTATATTTTCTTAGTAATCCAAGTGTGAGCCAGAACTCCTTATAGGGTGTAGGTGGTAGATGCTGTACAAATAGACAAAATATATTTCCTGCTTCCAAGATGTTACCAACTAAGTAATCAAAACTGTGAATTTTCCTTAGAAGAGCTCTCATGGGGTCCCAGGAAGGAAAAACCATACCATGGAGTTCCTTCATAAATGTATCACAAATCTGTCTAGTCGTAGTCACCTCAGTTGTCCCTTAGATCAGGGCTACTCAACACGTGGTCCATTTGTTTGCAGCTGTGATGCAGTTTGAGTTTACGCAGGGCTCAACTCACGCCCTGCGGGTGGGATCCTTTGAACATGTTCTCCACTGGGAACATGCTTCACAACAGCGAGTCTTCTGTTGATATGTGTTTTAGTAGTTAAATTCCTGGACTGTCATTGCTCATTAAAATTGCTGTCATATGGGTGGAAATCAAGTAAATATTGCATTTTATTAATATAATCAGAACAGACTTAAATGGGGCCTGCATGTTGTGTAGTCTTGCCTTAATCTTTGTATTCATGCCCGTCAGTGTGAAAAGTTATTTGCATTTATATGCAGCCCCACTTAAGTTGTGGCCCTCAGCATGTGCTGTTAGTATCATTGTGGCCCCCGGGGCTTCCAAAGCTGAGTAGCCTCGCCTTAGATCTTCAGCAATATAACTGACTGCGTATAATGTGCTTTACTCACCTAAACCCATAGAAACCTATATTACCATAAGGGTACGCTTAATTTAGACTAACCATGGAACTAATATTTTAGAGTTATCCCTTCTAAATGGAAGCTTATTTTATTAACACTCAAAATACACCCAGCTGGGGTGAGGAAGGGAGGTGGAAATCTTTCCTGTAAATAATCCATTGATAGGCTGTTATCTATATTGCTAAAGCATACTGTTAAATCAATTTTTATTTAGATTCTGTTCATAAATGCCATCAATACAGTGGTTCTTTTAGATGGGTTAAGGGAAAAATGTGGGATAGAATGGGCAAAATATCATTCTTCTTTGACTAAAAGAAAATCCCTCGCTCTGATACATAATGGTTATTTATTCAGCCATGGCCACAAAAGGAACAGTTCGATGACATTAGTTTCCATGAGCAATGCTTTTGCAATGGGTGAATAGTAAGACACTATAGAAAGCTACCTCAGACTCTGGAAGGGCAGTTATGGTCCCTGCCCATTTCCCCATGCTTTTTTTTCTCCTTCCTCCCTTTAAGGATTTTTAATTTCTACATGAACTAGAGCAGTGGTCCCCAACCTGTGGAGGTTGCTGGGTGCCAGGGGGCGTGGCCGTTCGCCTGCTGGGCGCCAGAGTGTGGGGACACTTGCGCACCCGGGGGCGGGGCCACACATACACCACACCCCCATGAGCCATGTGCCTGGGGCCAGCAACCCTCTG